ATCTGGCGGAGTCAGCTCCTTAGTGTGTGTCCTGGATCTGGGTGGCGTCACGGGTTCATCAGGGTGTAAAGTCTAAAAAGCATCTCAAACACCATTCTTAGGTTTACCATAGGACTTGTAAAAGCAAGTCACATGGCCATCAGCTTCTGACCTCTGAGTAGTAATCTATCACAGAGGTAACTTAGTAGGAAGGGATATACAAGTTGGAATCCGAAGGAGATCTGTGTGACCCTAGGCTCATTGTTGAAGGGAAAATATGTTTGTCAGTCAGTTTTCTCCTTCTCAGGAGCTAGGACTTGAAGATAATCAATTGTGAAAAAGCAAATTTAGAAACAACAGATTTGGGTTTGTTTGTTTGTTTTTGCGTTGGAGTCTTACTGTGTCGCCCAGACTGGAGTGCAGCGGCCTGCTCCCAGCCACCACAGCCTCGACCTGCTGGGCTCCGGCGATGCTTCCGCCTCAGCCTTCCAAGTAGCTGGAATTACAGGCATACGCTACCACGCCCGGCTGATTTTTTGATTTATTGTAGAGATGAGGTCTCGCTGCCCAGGCGGGTCTCGAACCCGTGGGCTCAGGCAATCCATTCACCTCAGCCTCCCAAAGGTGTGGGGTTACAGGCTGAGCCACCGAGCCTGGCTTGATTTATTTCTTTTCTTCTTCTTTTTTTTTTTTTTTTGAGTTGGAGTCTCACTCTGTCATCTAAGCTAGAGTGCAGTGGTACACTCAAGGTTACCGTGAGCTATGATCTTGCCCCTGCATTCCAGCCTATCCGACAGAGCAAGACTGTATCTCAAACAAAACAAAACAAGACAAAATTGGCTTTTCTGAGTGATTATTTTGTAACCATATAGGTTACAGTCAACTTCTTGTCAGCCTGACTCTCCTGTATCTTCTAAGAACTTGTGAGCATATGAACACACCTCACTATTTCAGGAGTTTTTAAGACATTTTTTAAAACTCTGGGCTGGGTAGAGTGGTTCACACCTATAATCACAGCACTTTGGGAGACGGAGGCGAGAGAATTGCCTGAACTCAGAGGTTCGAGACCAGTCTGGGCAACTTGATGAGATCTCATCTCTACAGTAAATCAAAAAATTAGGACCTTTCCGAGTTGTTGGCTGTAGGGTCTGGTATGGCTTGAGCTGTTGGTCCTGCACCAAGATGCTTCAGAGCATTATTTAAAATGTTTGGATCCCTATGAAGCCCTACTATATGGAAGTTTACCAGGAGATTTGGTTGGGAATGGGGTTGATGAGCTTTATCATGTATGAGATCAGGAGTGCTGATAAAAGAAATAAAGCTTTGAAAGCTCCTGCGCCTGCTCATGGTCATCACTAACCAACTTTCCTTGGAGTCACATGAGATGAAGCACCAGTCCGCCTGTAAATCTGAGCAAGCCGTGTTAGATGGGAACGGGGAATATCACTGTACACTTGTCTAAGTACCATTAACCTTGTGGCATGGATAAATATGTCTCTGAGATGCACCACTAAAAAAAAAAAAATTAGCCGGGCATAGTGGCACATTTCTGTGATTCCAGCTACTTGGAAGCCTGAGGTGGAAAGAATGCCTCAGCTTAGCAGGTCAAGGCCACGGTAAATCATGATCATGCCACTCCAGTCTAGGTGACAGAGTGAGACGCTGACACCCGCTTTAAAAAAAAACCCACTCTGGTTCATAACTGGGCATGGTGGCATGTACCTATAATCCCAGCTACTCAGGAGACTGAGGCAGGAGGATACCTTGAGTTCAGGAGTTCAAGGCCAGATTGGGCAACATAGTTACATAGTTGAGACTCTGTCTCTTAAAAAAAAACTCTTGATTATAAGGCTACAGATTTATCATTGTTATTATAGGATGATACTTTTTTTTTTTTGGAGTCAGAGTCTCACTTCATCACCCAAGCTATAATGCCGTGACACACTCACAGCCACTCCAATGTTGACCTGCTGGGCTCCGGCCATCCTTCCGCCTCAGCCTTCCAAGTAGCCAGAACTACAGACGCGTGCTACCACGCCCGGCTAATTTTTGATTTATTGTAGAGACGAGGTCTCACCAAGTTGCCTGGGCTGGTCTCGAACCTGTGGGCTCAGGCATTCCACGCGTCTAGGCTTCCCAAAGTGCTGGGATGACAGGCTGTGCCACTGAGCCTGGCCTATAGGATGATACTTTATATGGTGACCATTAGGCCACATTTTTTCTTCAAATCCTTATTTGTGGTAGATAACAGAATCCTGACCTTGAACGACTTTTAAAATAGCTCCTTTTCTCAAAGACTGTTGGGATGCATTCTGTGCTGCCAGTGCTGGGGCAGATTATGGGGCCATGACAGGGGTTAAGCTCACTCTCCTTTCTGAAATTTGTCCCTAGTGTGTGTTTTATAATTGTCTAGCAATACAATACCTTTCCTGACCAAAGCATAGTTCAGTGTTTTAAAAATGAAGATTAAAAATTGTGAATGTGTCTTCTATATGTCTTCTCTATGAACGTATTTTACATGTATCATACACGATCATTTTGTGTCATCACAATCTTTAATAAAATGAAAATTGTTTAGGAAAAAAACAAATAGAAAAATGTTTTTAGCCAGACGTGGTGCCTCTTGCCTTAATCCCAACACTTTGGGAGGCAGAGAGGAAAGGATTGCCTGAGTACAGTGGGTTCGAGACCAGCCTGGGCAACATGGCAAGACCTTGTCTCTACAATAAATCAAAAAATTAGCTGGGCATGGTGGTGCATGCCTGTAGTTCCAGCTATTTGGAAGGCTGAGGTGGAAGGATCACCTGAGCCCACCAAGTCAAGGCTGTAGTAGCCATGAGCTTGTCTCTGCACTCCAACCTGGGTGACAGAGTGACACTGTGACTCAAAAAAAAAAGAAAGAAAAAGGAAAGAGTTTTCATCACTATGCTATCAGCATGTGTGATTCTTGAATTTTTTTTGAGAGCTTACTATTGATATTTGCTCTTTTTTTTTTTTTTTTTGAGTTGGAGTCTTACTCTGTCGCCCAGACCAGAGTGCAGTGGCCACTCC